AAGCTGAAATGTAATAGTTTTCATGAAAATTTATATATTAGAAACGTATATATTAGAAAAAAATTACACCTTAAAGTAAAAATACAATAAAATATAATAAGAAATATTAAAAAACAGTTCTTTATACTCACCATATTTTATGGTTTCTATAATGCAAGGATTCCCAAACTTTTTAGTCAGCCAAACCCCATTGACTTTTCTTGACATACCCCACTAAGATTTTATATTAATATAATAATGAATTAATAATAATTTATCAACACATTCGCGTGTTCATGGTTCTCTGATGTTGTTGAATGGTCACTTGACATGCAGGAAAACAAAAGATGTATTTTTATAGAAAGTGTTTTATTTCAATTTTATTTTAAAATTCTTTTAATTTTGCATTTTAATAATTTAATTAATTATTAGCTTTTCATCAGCTCAAACCCCCAAGTTAGGGAAATCCTGCTATAATGCATTAAAATTCCATAAAAATTGGGAAACCTCTTCCAGCAACTTTTAGGTTTTTATAAAGAAAAACTGGCATTAAATTACAAAATTCCCCAGCTGGGTTTTATTGTTTGAGTTGCTTTAATCTGATTTCCTTTGTAGAGGGTGATAGATGATCGCCACGATGTCAGATCAACAATCTTCCTGTATTAGAGTCCTATTGACAATCCCCTATTAAGTGCATTAAGTCAAAAGACCAAGCATGAATAATGAAAGCGTGTAATAAAAAATAAAAAAAAACATTACAAATGTAAAGTAATGTGTCCTAATGCCAGTATGGCCAATATGTGCAGGTACATTTATTTCATGTCTTGCTGTACTGTTTCATCTCTGGCAGATGTCGTATACAAAGATCAATCTAGGATTGTCAATGCTCATAAAACAACGGCAAGTCTGTCATCAGCAGGCAAATCAAGCTGCTGAACTTGGCTTTGTATTAAGACATTTAATAGAAAGTGAAACCAGCCTCTCTGTTCACTTTGGGGCTTCATATTATAATGTAGTATTACATTAACTTAGGAGTAAAGGGACGTTTTAGGTCAAACAATTACATTCTTGTTTACACGTGACGGTGATCAGTGGGTTTCTTCATCCCAGCACTATCTATTCATCTGGGCTTTCTATGGGTATTTTTAGTTTTGCCATATGTTTGCATAAGACAAATTTCTTCAAGATTTGCACAGAACTGTTCTGGATTATCTATGTACACTTAACAGTCTGGAGAAAGGAATGAAATAAATGTGTTAAAAGCTGATAATTATACACGTTTTGACATCCTTTGGTGGAGAAGGCAAGAATTCAATTTCTGTGGAAATCGGTTTTCTGCAGATTTCTGCAGTCACAGTTTCCATGTAAGATGACACTTGACTTTTTTTCCAAGTATGCAGTGATAAACCTTTCTGCAAAAACGGCATTATACTGCATTTTTTTGCCACATTACATTTATTTCAGTTAGTGGCAATCAGCAGGCAAATCAAGCTGCTGAACTTGGCTTTGTATTAAGACATTTAATAGAAAGTGAAACCAGCCTCTCTGTTCACTTTGGGGCTTCATATTATAATGTAGTATTACATTAACTTAGGAGTAAAGGGACGTTTTAGGTCAAACAATTACATTCTTGTTTACACGTGACGGTGATCAGTGGGTTTCTTCATCCCAGCACTATCTATTCATCTGGGCTTTCTATGGGTATTTTTAGTTTTGCCATATGTTTGCATAAGACAAATTTCTTCAAGATTTGCACAGAACTGTTCTGGATTATCTATGTACACTTAACAGTCTGGAGAAAGGAATGAAATAAATGTGTTAAAAGCTGATAATTATACACGTTTTGACATCCTTTGGTGGAGAAGGCAAGAATTCAATTTCTGTGGAAATCGGTTTTCTGCAGATTTCTGCAGTTACAGTTTCCATGTAAGATGACACTTGACTTTTTTTCCCAAGTATGCAGTGATAAACCTTTCTGCAAAAACGGCATTATACTGCATTTTTTTGCCACATTACATTTATTTCAGTTAGTGGCGCCTGGTTATTTTACAGTTTTTTTTATATGCAGTTTTGTGTAAAAGTGTCTTAATGATTGACTGAAAAATAAATAAGTGCAAAAATTGTGACTGATAAATTTGACATTCGGTTCATTCGTCAAGCTTGGAGGGTTTGAAGCGCAGTACATTGTGGGTTGCTGTATTGCAGTCTGCTCAGGTTATATATTTAGGCAAATGTCTTCTGGGTATTCCACGTATATTGATATGTTATAAGTTAAAATACAAAAATAGGTTGTGAGCTTGTCATCTGAAGTCTCCTACAGTCCACAGCAGTTATTGATGTATTAAATATATAGTTCGCTGAACTGATCTGCTGTGTTGACAAAAGGTAGATCTCTTTCATTATGTCAGGCATGTTTCATCATTGTTTACTTGATCAGTTTCCTCACGTTTCGTCAGTCCTGTTGATACACTGCATTGTTTCGCTGATGAAAGATGAGATGATGTGATAACAATGAAAACATTTTACAGAACCAAAACTATACAGAACATTAATTGGTTTCTTATTCATTTGAGATTTCATTTTTTATTTGGTTAGTTCTTTCTTTTTTTTTGTGGCCGTTTTTGTTAGTGTGTTAAGTGCTTGATTCATGAATGTTAATGTCTGGTGAAGTTTTAAAATCTAGTAAACAGATGTTGAAAGAAAACAAAAGTCAAATTCTTTTGAGATGTCGTGTAAGATCAGCTGGACTCATACTTTGGCTTTCGTTATGACAGTGTTCTTGCCACATACCTGTCTGTACAGAAAAGAAAACTGGGATGGGCTCTGGATCTGCAGGAGTTTTTGAAATGACGACCTGCTCTTTCTAGGTTTGTTATGATTTCAGAAAAAAAAGTATTGCAGTAAAATGGAAATTCTACAAAAAAAAAGGGGGGGGGGCACTATGGAAATTGACCATACAAAATATAGTAAAAGTGTTTCAGGTATTACTGGATGGCATTTTGGTAAATGAATATTTAATAGATCATAACATATTAATACTACATTAAAAAATGAAAAAAAAAAAAGATATTTTATATAATCAAAAAATTATATATATAATTAAATGTTAACATCTGGGAACTCATTTAAACCATTTTAATATTTTACTGTAATAAATGAATTCATACTTTTTATTTATCTTAAATCTTCCACATTTTTACATTATTTTACATTAGAATTATTGTCCCTGCATCCCATTTTGATGGGAGATCTTATATCTCAGCATTAGATCCATTTGCATGCTTGAAACCCTCAAACATCACAAGGATACTACACCATTTAGTTTGTTTTCTTAAAAAGCAGTCATGGCACTATTCGCCACATGCCTTGTCTCATCAGTATTGCAAAGTTATTTTTCTGTAAGCTGTCTATTGTAGCTTGATTTAGAAACTTGTTTGCCTCTTTTCAGGACACTGATCTGCAAAACAAAAATGATCTCACTGGTTAATCAAAAGCTGACTGTCTTTGTTGTTCTCCTGCACGGGTCTTGAAGTATTGCAGTAAATAGCAAAATAGTACATTTTCCAAAGAACTCAACTCCTTTAGACCTTTGTTCATTATGTGAAAGTTTAAAAAATCCCAAACAATTTTACACAAATAATATGACATTGATATAACAAACATCATGTAGTTTTAATCATTTATGCTTTACTGCTATAATAAATGCATTAAATGACCATGTTGATTATAGTGCTGTGTTACAGCATACACTTCATCATCCCTGAGGTTACAAATTGTGGTGCATTTTCTTTATATTCAACTAGAAACCAGGTGCTTTCCAGTCATGCCAACAGTCAGAAGCAGATATGCCTGTTTCCTCTAAAGGGTGGAGATTTTGACAGAGTTATGCTAATATGCATGTCTATCTACATTTCATAGACAAGTATGAACAACAGTGATGAACCAGAGATTAATATGAGTTGTTTGGGCTTTAAAATAGCCTATTTATACAGTATATTTACAAGTATAAATATAAGTTATTTATTTTTATATATAAGATTTATAGTTGAGATTTTCATATACAATTTACCTTTAAATTCCAAATGTAAAATGTAGATTTCAATCGAATTGGATAATCTTGTACCATATTGATATAAAAATGCAAAGAAAAAGAAAATATATTCCATTCATTGTTATTGTCAAGTTAAAGTGCATTAAACTTTGCATTATATTATCATTATTATTTCCTATACTGGGGGTTCATAAAGGAACTGCAGGGGGTTTGTGAGTTTAATAAAAAGCAAATAATTAAATCATAAAAATGTAAAATTTAAATAACTAATTTTAAAATAACAAATCAAAATAAAACACATACTAAAAAAGATAAATATTTTATTTGTTTACCTCCCTGTCATGTGACCATTAACCAATGTCAGAGAACTGCAAACATGCAAATGTTACTCATGAAGCAAAGACAGACCAACCTAATTATTAAAATATTTATTCCAAAATACTCATGGTGATACTCAAGTGTTCATCAGTAGTTGATGTAATGTTGAATTGCTAAGAAAACACTTGATAAAACTGAAATGATTTTGTCGATCCAGTGGTCAAATGTTGTGTGGCCTTTCAAATTTCTGTGTAATTATATCCACCTGACTAGTGACTGTTTTTTTATTGTTGTTTTTTGTGAATGTCCACAAAACTGGAAGACCAAGTTAAATATATAATCATTTCATTTACGAGTAAAATGTGATGTGATGATCTCAAGTTTTACTCCGCCTAATTTCTCACGTAGCACATTTCTTAGAAAAAGAAACTTGAACACAAAGACACACTTCATTTAAATCAGGATTGGCTTACCATGCAATTAAAACACACACACACACACACATCTTATAATATAATTTGTTGTATGGAAAAACCAGAAACATCAGTCAGCCAGTAATTTCCCTCACTCTGCTCCTGCACATAAGCTCGTCCCCTTTTTCTTCTTTTAACTTTTCATTCAGCCAGAGCAACTTGTCAAACTGGCTTTTGTGCTCTGCTCTCAGAAGTACTTGGACGATAAAAGCGGGAGTAACACAGTTCGGTTTTAGTTGCATTTACCATCTTGAACATCAGGGCCATTTCATGAAGCAAAGACAGACCAGCAATGAGTGAGTATAACACAAAAAGTGTCTCTATATACTGTAGGTTTATTGGTTTGTCAGACTCACTGTCCGATTCATTTGTATCATTTTAGAGCACGATCGCATGTGTGGCAGTCGATGTCTGGGTCCGATGACTTTCAGTGTGGACCTGACAGGCCAACACGTGACCCTCAGCCAAGAAGGACAACTCGCGTCCAGAGACCCCTCGTCCTTTATGAACGGTTTGGCATTTCTCAGCCGCACTGTAAAGGTGGATGAAAAGCTGTGTATACGTATTGAGGACCGCACCTCGTTGTGGGATGGAGCTCTTCGTGTGGGTTTCACCAGCGTCTGCCCACAGAGAACCAGTTTACCACCTGCCTCAATACCAGACCTCAGGAACACACGGGGATACTGTGTTGTGCCAGTGCCTGAGGACTTGTGTAGGTGTGGTGTACAGCTTCAGTTCTGGATAAACTATGCAGGCATGGTTATTGTGCAAGAGATAGGTGGGGAGAAATATTACCTCAAAGCAGAAGGACTGAACCTGAATAATCCGCTGTGGGTTTTCATTGATCTGTACGGGAGCACAAGCGCCGTCCGCCTTCTGAGTAAGTGTGAGAAAATAACTCATTTCAATTGTCAACTGCTACGTGAATCGGTTTAAAAATATCAAATCTTTTGTAAAAATGTTGAATGTGCTGTAGGATCAAGGAGGGGCAATCGAACATCATGCCCGGTTTTTCGGCTAGTGAGAGCACTTGAGCGACAAACATCAGAGGAAGAGCATAGCTATAACCACAAAACAGGTGATAATGTTTTCTTAAGACACTGAGATCAAACATGAATCATCCATTAAACAACTTTCGTCTTTGTAGTTTTAGAACCCGGTGTACTGATATTATTGACCTTGATTCCATTATACTTAGAAGCCAGAAAGGTCCAGAAAACATCATCTTACTGGAAAGCGAATCTCTTCCTTGTACAGTATGCCAACCAGACGACCATCCCAAGCCCCCGAGAATGTTTAGAACTCACAAGAGCTGGTTTAGGTACATTATCTGGCCCCTTTCAGCTTAAAATACATCACCAGCATTGACAGTTCTCTATGGTACTCATAACTTATATGCTAAAATGAACAGCAGTTGGGAATCTTATGTTTTCTCTGTTCGCTTTCTAGGCGTACCTGTTCAGGAGTCAAGAGGGGTAGATCTACACTGGACTTGGCAAGAGCTGAAACAGTTCATTTGCTCCAGATATCCTTTGGTCGACCTGGATGTGATTGGTTTCCAGTTTGCGAAGGCTGATAAGCATGGACGACTTTGCAGATTACATGCAAACACTCTGAGGAAAATAAAAAAGGAGCTGGCTGACAACATACTTTATATAGTTCCTCAGACAGACATTGTTCTAAATGAGGTATAGTAGAACATTCTTATTTATTTTTAATTTAATCAGTTCGTAAATACTGTGGAAGTGCCACTAAAAACTAAGGTGAATGCAGTGGCGGCTCGTGGGTTTTAAAATAGAGGAGGCGCACTAATTGTATTGGTCTGGGGATCCCCGCCGATTATTATTATTATTTGCTTAACCACTTTAAAATGGCGTTTTGGTTGCTTTTAGTCAGAAAACGTAAAGGAAACGACACACATTAATTTTATTAACATTAAATCGTCCTCCCCCCATTTTCACCTCAAAATTTTGGGGAAGCTGTGCCTCCCCTGCCTCCCCCGGCGAGCCGCCACTGGGTGAATGTTTAAAGGGAAAATTCTTTTGCAATTGAAAGGGCACTTTTTTGCAACTGAACCTGCTAGTTGACATTTACTTGACAATACCAAACAATGAAACTGTGCTATTTCTTTTTCACAGATGATCACGCACACATTATCATCATTCATGAATGCAAATGCTTTCACACAATCACGTTCTCCTCCACCTGTTCCTGAACAACAGAGGCACCGGCTGACTTCAGCCAGCAGTTTTCTTTCAGATTCAAGCCGAAACTCTTCAATGGTAATAATATTTATGATAATCTTACATATTATTTTACATGATTATTATATACATAATACACACAAATTTACACACACCTTAAACTGGTGTATAACATTGACATTGCAGAAAGGCAGCATAAAGCATGATTTACTTATCTTCAACAGGAGGACATGGACTTTAGCTCTTTGCTCAGAGAGTTCCAGCACATGCATCTAAGTGGCAGCGAGCACGTTTCAGTATTGGTTTCTCGTAACAAGGTGCTGCAGAGTGCTAAAGAAAATTATGTTTCCAACTCTAATTTCCCTTGGACCAAAATCCCTCTCGTGACATTTGTTGGTGAGGAAGCCCTTGACTGTGGAGGTCCACGGAGAGAGTTTTTCAGGTATTCCTCTTACAAACAAGAATAAATATTATTTTACAAGAAGTAAAAGAACAGTTCTCAAAACATGACTAGTAAGGTCACAGTTTTGTTTGACATCTGTTGTTTCTCCTTTACCTCTGCCTCAGAATCTTGATGATGGAGGTGCAGAGCTCGCTGGGCATCTTTGAGGGGCAGCCTGGACACTTATTCTTCACCTATGACCAGATGGCCTTGGAGGAACACAAGTATGAGTTGGCGGGGAAGCTGATTGCGTGGTCTGTGGCTCATGGCGGCCCAGGACTCAAGTCTCTTGACCACTGCCTGTACCAGCTGATGTGCACCCAGGAATGTCAACTGGTAGACTTTGACTGGCACCTAATACCAGATGCTGACATTCAGGACAAACTACAAAAGGTTTCTATCCATTTCTTCATCAATCCATTGATCTTCGCCCTTCTTTAACTGAAAGATCTTTAATCATTTTATCTTGCTTTTAGATTTCATCATGCAAAACGATGGCAGATCTCCAGAGGCTGCAGACAGAGCAGGGTGACTGGATCTGTGAATGTGGTTTCCCTGGAATATACAGACGTGAAATTTCCATTCAAGATGTGCCAAAGATTTACTCCTTTGCAGTTCGACACTACATATATCTCTTTTTTGTAATCAGGCTCTCAAAAAGTATATAACAATTTGGATATAGATTTATCGGCCAACATATCGGTTATCGGCTTTCAAAAATAAAGAATAATCGGTTATCGGTATCGGCCAAAATTTTCATATCGGTGCATCCCTAATCTGAGGTATATAAAACTGAAGTTATTCTTATTGATTTGACTATCACTCATTTAAATGAAAAAAGTTACTATATTTTTATCAAAGTAACACTCAATTGACAGTTAGTTCCGGTCCTCTAGATTATCTGATTGATTGAGTTAATATTTAGTAATGTGTTGTGTTGCTTAAGTACAAAAATGGACATTTAACAGCCTGTGTTAATTTTTGCAGAACATCAAATATGATTAATCAGTTCACAAAGGGACTGAATGCTTATGGACAGTTCTGGGATATGGTAAGAACTCACTGGGTTGAGTTTTTGCCCATCTTTACCAACATGCATGAGCCCCTTTCCAGAAGCACATTTAGAGACCTGTTCCAAATCCACTGGAGTAAATCAGGGACCAAGAAGAGGGAGGCTGAGGAAGAGACTATACACTACTGGGAACTGGTACTTAAGATGATTGAAGGTAAGTTTCCTAGTTGTTAAATGAACTGTGAATAATGGTGCATCATTGTGCTTGTAATTGTCAATTCATTTGGACTTGAGCTTGTAATTTTCCCTCAACAGATAAAAAACCAAAAGCTCCACAAAACGATTTGCATTTTGAGGAGATTTTGGCTTTCATAACTGGAGCGGGTGAAGTCCCACCACTTGGGTTCTCCCCGAAGCCCAGCATTCACTTCTACCAACCAGAGCAGCGTGGATGCCGTCTACCGTTTGCTAACACATGCATGATGGGATTGTTCCTGCCCAGGGTTGTGAAAGATGAAGTGGAACTTTACAGGATGCTCCTGAGAGCAATCAGAGACTCAGCTGTTTTTGGGAGAACATAAATGTATATAATTCTTTATTATAATGTACACGGTCACATCCATAATTATGTATATTTATAAGCTTTATTTCATTATTTATTTCATTACTTAAGAAGAAAGCACTTATGCAATTACTGTATATTTTTGACATAAATATGTTTTGCATTCTATGCCAGATATTTTTTTAAATATTTGTAATATATACAATATATTTATATTTGTAATGTTCCTGATAACTTTCTTGTAGTTGACTGCATAGTAGTCACGTGTTACATTTACGAGTGTTTACAGATCGAAGAGAATAGGACCTATCAATCATTATTCTGTAAACCTGTTTTACCTGACACACCTATGCAGTAACACGGTCTACCATATCGTTTTCTGAGCTGTGCTTTGGTTTCTCTTTTTTGCTTAACTTACCCTGTCAAAGAATGCTTTGGTACGCTGAATAAACTGGAAACAGCGTATTATCTAATCTTTAACGTGTTTTCCATTAAAATATTTATTTCGGAGTGAAACAGAGTTTACAACCTGTTTTATTAGAGACGTCGAAAAATTTTGAGATGGATAGAATTACAGCACCTACTCATTTCTATGGTATCCACAAACCGCGATTGACTTTCAAAGCTGTAATGTGATTGGTTTACGTGGCACACGTGATCCAAGTTGACCGTTATGTTTTCTCCAACGGCAGAGGATGGTTTCTCGTATCCACTGCTATCCACATCCCGCTCAGTAATGGCAGTCCTACTGTAGCTCTTGCTATAGGAAAATTACTGGTTGGCAAACTATTTTCCGCTCTTTCAAGCGGCTCACATGACAACGTAAACTAATAAAGATAAACTGTCACATGACTTCCTCGAAATGTCTACACTACAGAGTGTAATATAAGTTGTGTAAGTAAATATAAGTGTAATCAATAAGCTGGTTACCTCATTACTACTGTATGTCATGGGATTTATGACATTGATTGATTTAAATTGAATATATATTTAGCCTAACATAAAACAAGTAAAGATTAATTCAGAAATAGGCTATTTACCATAGAAAACACCACATTTTGAAAGAGAATTATATTTATTTTTCCCAAAAGCAAATTCAGAATCCATAAGATTTGGGCATGTAATGACCTACGAATTCAGTAGCCTAGTACTTCAGAACTTTTCGAGGCAATTATTTCAGTAAATCTCCAACAGGATGAAACATCTTTAATGTACAGTAGCCTACTTTGGATCTGCATCCTGTGCAATTCCCAGAATGAGATGATTCATTTCTAAAACTGTTCACTTACATGGAATAAATACTTTCTTACATGTTTTATTGTTGACAGTCATAATTGGTGCAAAAGTTCAAAGTTAAAAAGGTCTGAATTGCAAAATTTCAAGGTTCAAAAAGTTTGAAACTACAAAAATAAGAAAATATTCTGATAATTTATTTGCAGGGTACTGACAACTTAATTATTGCAATTATATATGCTTAATAAAAAGGTAATAGATTAAACAAAATTACTCTTTAAAAATATGTTTATATGGAGTAGCTAGTGTCTTTCAAACAACACGGAATTGCAAATATATACACACACACACAAAATCCTACAATGTGATTTTCTGGATTTTTTTTCTCATTTTGTCTCTCATAGTTGAGGTATACCTATGATGAAAATTACAGGCCTCTCTCATCTTTTTAAGTGGGAGAACTTGCACAATTGGTGGCTGACTAAATACTTTTTTGCCCCACTGTATATATATATACACACATACATACATACATACATGATGGCTTCCGGAATGCTGACCTTTTGTGCAAAAAGTGGTTATGTAGATAAAACCAGGCAACATATATTAAACCAGAGTTCTAGACTGAATAAGTTTAGTGATGTTAATGTTTCAATAAGGCATATTCTCATATGGCAATTAGGTTGTAAATTAAAGGGGTCATATGATGCGATTTAAAATTTTCCTTTCTCTTTGGAGTGTTACAAGCTCTTGGTGCATAAAGAAGATCTATAAAGTTGCAAAGACTAAAGTCTCAAATCCAAAGAGATATTCTTTATAAAAGTTAAGAGTCAGCCACACCTACCTAAAACGGCTCGTTTAAACACGCCCCCACATGTCTACGTCACGATGTGGGAAGATTTGCATAACGCTGCCCAAATGTTCACGCAAAGAAAGAAGGCGTAACTTTTATTCTCGCTGTAGTATTGTTGTTGCTGCCGCCGCCATGTCGTGAAGACGCTGTGTGTTTCGTTGTGAAAGCGAAGCTACTTTGTTTGGCCTTCCAAAAGAGGACGATATCTGCTTCGTCATGCCTGGAGCTGATCCTTGCTGGTTGCTGAGGAAATACATCAACTTCTCCCTGTGGATCGCCGGTTTGGCTTTCACCGTGGACAAAGCGGAGTCCAGCCCAGGGTCGTCACATGTGGTTGCTGCAAACCCGCCAGC